TCTGGAGTCAGACGCGCTACCGTTGCGCCACGAGATCCACGATAGATGATATATTTATCAGCCTTAGGTTTTTCCCATAATTTTTACTGATGAAAAGTAAAAATAAAATCATTCAACTATTTCTTTTTTTATCATTTCGTTATTTGTGAAACAAAAAAAATGACCCCGACGTGACTTGAACACGCAACCTTCTGATCTGGAGTCAGACGCGCTACCGTTGCGCCACGGAGTCTACGCCAGAAATAGGATAGAAAAGAGAGTTGTTGTTTTTATCGCGAGAAAAAAATAGCTGGAACCATTATATCCAATAAGTTGCTTCTATTATATACACATCCGGTGTCGATTAAATAGATAGATATATGTTAGTATATGGAACAATGACCGTTCATTCATTATAGTTCAAATATGGTGAGAAAGAAGAAGAAGAAAAAAAACTCTTTTCTCCCTTGTGTATAAGTTAGGTTATTCATTCGTTCGCTCGTTCTTCTTCTTCTTTTTTTCTCTTCTCTCTCTTCTTCATTCATCACCGACCGCGCTCGTACCGCATTCGCTACCATTGTCGATGTTGTTCGCCTTAAGCTAAGAGAATTGTTTGTTGGTTGGTCGATAAAGAAGATGGAATAGAACGAACAAGCGATGTGATCAGAATATATGGCCGTTGTCAGTGTTCCTTTTTTCTTTTTCTTTTGCCCTCGTCGTGTCTGCGATAACCTCATACGATAGAGTTTGTTTTTTTTCCTTATAGATCTAAGCTCTTTTTCTCAGATATAAATGTTCATTTATTGAAAAGAAAATGGATTCCGAACAAGACCAACCGACTATTTCAAATGGTCATTCAAATGGTTTTGATGATGAATATCATCAACAAACAGGAGATTCAACAAGCGATAAACAAAATATCGATCCGGTATATAAATAAATTTCTTATTATATTTTGTTGTTTATTTATTTATTTTTTTTTGTGATAGATGGCTGACTTGGGTGATGTTGTCGATGGTCGAGAAATTCAAGTTCTTGAAACAGCTGAAGATATTCAAGCAAGACGTGAACAAGTTCTTACTCGTTTTGCACATTTTAAAGAAGCAGCTAAATATCGTCGCGATAAATTAGAAGATTCACGAGAATATCAATATTTTAAACGTGATGCCGATGAACTTGAAATGTGGATTAATGAAAAAATACAATTATGTACACATGATGATACATATCGCGATACAACAAGTGTTCAAGTAAAAATTCAAAAACATGAAGCATTCGAAGAAGAAGTTGCAGCACATCATAATGCTGTTGTACGACTTGATGAAGAAGGTGCAGCTAAAATAAGTCGTGGTCATTTTGCAACAAATGCTATTCAGGTTAAAGAGAAAAAAAATCATTATTTCTTTAACTTTTATAATTTTATTTTAGGCTCGTCTCAATGAAATTCATCGTTTATGGGATTTACTTTTAAAACGATTACAAGAAAAATCAGCTCGCCTTCAATTAGCACGTAAATTAGAACAATTCTCTCGAGATTGTGATGAATTTATCTTTTGGATGCGTGATAAAGTAAATTTTTGTATTAAGAAAAAAAAAATCATTTTTTTTGTTCTATTTTTAATAGGAAACATTTGTTTTATCGGATGATTTTGGTAAAGATTTACAAAGTGTACAAAATCTTCAACGTAAACATGATAATGTTGAACGAGATATATCAGTTTTACAAGAAAAAGTCGAAAATTTACGTAAAGATGGTGCACGTATCCAACAAGATGTACCAGAAGGTGCTGAACAAATTGAAAAACGTTTAGCTGATATGATACAAGCATGGGATGGTTTACGTACAAAAGTAAATACTTTTTTTTATTTATATACAAGAATAAAATATATATTTTTTTTCTAGTCGGATGAACGAAAAACAGTTTTAAATGAATCATTTCGTTTACATCATTTTTTATCTGAATTTCGTGACTTAATGTCATGGGCATTAGATATAGAAGCACATTTATCATCAGATGAATTAGCTAAAGATGTTTCAGGTGCTGAAGCCTTAGTTGAACGTCATTCAGAATTTAAAGGTGAAATTGATGCACGTAAAGATAGTTTTGCTAATGTACAACGTATTGGAAATGATTTAATTCAACAAGATCATTATGCTAAAAATGATATTGAATTAAAATTACAAGAATTACTTGGACAACAAACAAAATTAGATCATTTATGGTCACAACGTTTAATGTTATTACAAGATTGTATGCATTTACAATTATTTTTACGTGATATTGATCAGGCATTAACATGGATACAAAAACAAGATCAATATTTAGTACAAAATATCAATGATATTGATTCATGTCAAACATTAGATGATTGCGAAGGTCTAATTAAAAAATATGATGATTTTGAAAAATTACTTCAAGCACAAGAAGAAAAAGGTACGCAAGATTAGTTCTTTGAGAACATGTGTTCGATTCTCATGGTTTAATGTTTATTATTCTATCTTAATTCATAAACAAATAACTGACACTGTAGCAATATTTCTAAGGAATAAGCGATTGTTTTTCTCTAGTAATTAATGAATATCAGACTATCTCGGAAATGTATAATTTATTAAGTAGTATAGAAAGTCAAACTTATAAATATGTCTTTGATGTTATTCTTCTCTCCTATTACATATCTATGAATTTCTTTTTGTAGGCAAAGCTCTCGATGAATTTGGTCGTGATCTTCTTAACGCTGGTCATTATAATTCGGATTTAATTCAAGAAAAACTTGATTTACTTTATCAATCTCGTATTAGTTTATTAGAAAAAATTAATACCAAACGTCGTTTATTACAAAATACACTTAATTATTATACATTTGAACGTGATTGTGATGAATTAAAATTATGGGCAAAAGAAAAATTAAAAATGGCATTAACACGAGATTATTTAGATACAGCAAATATAAATATAAAATGTCAAAAACATCAACAATTTTTAAATGAATTAGCTGCCTATCAACCAAAAATGGATGCAGTTATCTTAACCGGACAAAAATTAATTGATGAAGAACATGGTCAAACACAAAATATTAATCAACATCTAACTGAATTAGAGGATATATTAAATAAATTAGTTGAAGCAGCTAATGAAAAATCCGATCGATTAAAAGAAGCTACGGATGGACAAACATATATGCGTGGCTTAGAAGAAATTGATATGTGGGTAAATGATGTTGAAAATACATTAACAAATGATGATTATGGCAAAGATATGACATCAGTACAAAATTTACAAAAAAAACAACAATTATTAGAAAATGAATTTTCATTAAAAAAAGATCGAATTGATCAATTATCAAAAGATGCTGAACATTTTCAACAAATTGGTCATTTTGATTCGAATAATATTCTTAAAAAACAAATACAACTTGTTACACGTTTTCAATCATTATTAGATCCATTACAACAGAAAAAAGAAAAATTAACTGCATCAGCTGAATTTCAACGTTTATTACATAATATTGAAGATGAAGAAGCATGGATTAGGTAGGAAAAAGATTCACCAAAAATAAATTATCTATTTAATAAAAATATTTTTAGAGAAAAAGAACCAAGTATTATGTCAACAAATCGTGGCCGAGATTTAATTGGTGTACAAAATCTATTAAGAAAACATCAAGGTTTAATGGGAGAATTACAAAGCCATGAATCACAAATACGCACTGTTTGTAATGAAGGAGAAGATATGATAAATCAAGGTAAGATCATAGAAATGATTGAAACAAAATTGACTTAATTACTTTATTTAAATAGGTCATTTTGCATCGGCTGAAATAAAAAAACATATTGTTAATTTACAATCAAAATGGCAAAATTTAAAAGAAGTATCCGTACAAAGAAAACATGATTTAGAAGATTCATTACAAGCACAACAATATTTTAGTGATGCAAAAGAAGTTGAATCATGGATTCAGTAAGTTAGAATTGAATTTATTAATCATCATCATCATATATATTTCTTTTAGTGAAAAAGAACCAGTTGCTCAATCGACTGATTATGGTCGTGATGAAGATTCATGTAATGCATTATATAAAAAACATCAACAATTATTTAATGATATCAAAGCATTTGAACAAACTGAATTAGAAGATCTTCGTCAAAAAGCACAAAAATGCCATCAACCTGAAAAACCACTTGTATCCGATGATGTCTTAACAGGTCAACGACAAAAAGTTTTAAGTCTTTATGATTATGCTGAAAAAACTCCACGAGAAATTTCAATGAAAAAAGGTGATACACTTATGTTACTTAATAATTCAAATAAAGATTGGTGGAAAGTTGAACTTAATGATCGACAAGGTTTTGTTCCAGCAACATATTTAAAGAAAATTGAAAAAGAACCAATATCAATAAATGAACAAGAACGTCTCGATGAATATACAGTCAGTTCACGACAACAACAAATTGAAAAACAATATGCAAATCTATTAAATATATGTCAACAAAGATTAGAAAAACTTGGTAAGATATTGAAACTAGTTTTACATTGATGAATTTTTCTTCTTTTTTAGCTGAAGCTTCGGAT